ATCGGAGGGATGCCTTGTTGATGCCTAAAAACATTAAATGGATCTATCAATGTCTTTGCCCTAACCAATCTGTCATAGTTTTTTAAGAAATACTTCTCACCCCAAACCTTGGCCTCTTCCACAGCATCATCAGAAGGGGCACTGCTGTTTAATAGGTACATGACTCCGAGATCAAAGTCAATGTAGTTTATATAAGCAGCCCTCGGACCCGATGATACATAGGGTGCCATTGAATTGTAAAATCCTCGTATCCAGTCTATATAATTCTTTCCATTTTTGGCATTGTCTTCCTCTTTCCATTCGACTACATACTGTATTGTGTAAAGGTTACCTTTTCTATGTGGGAAGGCAATGGAATCACTACTAATTTTTTCCATAATTCCACCATAAGGGTCTAAAATGACATACCCTTTCGGCTCTTTGTCAAGAATGTTTATGGCTGAAGTTATACCAATTCTTGAAATCGGAGTCTTCACGTAATCCGATTTTGCCTTGAAATAGTGCTTATCCTGCAAGTAACGATTTTTCAAGTCAGACATCGAGCTTCCATCATCCAATCCTGAGAAGTAAAGAATAGACTCAATCCAACTCATTTCATTGCAATCTTCTTCAAGAACCCCCAATTCGGGAAAAGAGCTTCTTATGATTTTGAGAGCTTCTGCTTTTGGACCAAGGTAGAACCCTTTAAACGTAGCTGAAATTCCAATAGATTTTTTCATTTGTGGCAATCCAGCACCAACAAAAGCAGACAAATAAAATTCGTCTTCTAGCCTTGGTGCCACATGTTGCCATTTCTGAACTATATTCGCCACGTAACGCTTTGATCCAGGCCTTGAAACAATGAAACCAGTTACAATTTCAGGTACTTTCAGCAGTTGGATTTTCCAAGCATAAACAATGCCCCAAATTCCTCCGCCCCCTCCACGGATAGCCCAAAAAACTTCCTCTCCCATGGCTTCCCTGTTCAGTAACCTCCCATGAGCATCGACCAGAAGTGCGTCCACCACATTATCCGCAGCAACACCATATTTTCTCGACAACAACCCGAATCCACCACCCGCAATGTGCCCACCAATCCCGACGGTCGGGCAAGACCCTGCCGAAAACCCATGGAACCTACTTGATTCTGCAATAGAATAATAAGTCTGGCCAAGAGTTGCACCGCCTTCCACCCAAGCCATTTCAGCATCCAAATCCACAGAAACTCTATCCAAATTCATCATATCAATCAAAACAAACGAATTCCCATCACTGACTACATATGAAGTGCCTTCATAACTATGCCCCCCACACCTTACTCTAATTTCCCACAATCCTTTCCCACAACACAAAACACTGTTCATCAACTGCTCCTTGCTCTCTGGCATGATTATGGCCATTGGTTTGGGCACTGAAGAGTCTGAAAAACGCAGATTTTGAATCGAAAACCCAAGAAACTTGAAGTAAACAGTAGGATCGTTATCGTAAGTACTCGGGTATAAAGAGAAATTATAAACACCTTGATCCATCAAACAAGAAGCAAGAGTTTGTGCTTCTGCATGTGAATCACAAACTGAAGGAACCAAATAGATGAAAATGATCAAAGAGGGAAACGTAATTAAGAACTTCATTTGGATTTGTTTTAATTTTTTGGCTGCTGAAGCACTGACAGGAAGTGGGCTTATATGATACAGATTGGAGAATCATTTCGCCGTTTGAGGACAAAAGGGTGGAGAGACCTTTGCAAAAGAACATCATTAAACGTGGCCGGCTTTCTTTTCTTAATGCTGGACCTCAATAGAACCAGACAAAAAAAAATTATACATCATTTGTAATCAATCATATTTGTATGGACAATACATAGTAAATGTACTTAATTTTATATGGATTATAACGAAACCAGCCAACTGCAAGAAGCCAGGCCTGCAGCCATTATTAATTTTGTATAGTTGCATGGAAATAATTAATCAACTTTTAACGTAGAGTTTGCCCGAGTTTAATTGACCTTGCAGTTATCATGTGGTATAAACATAATGAAATTGACATCATAATAAAAATCTAGAAATGAATAGAAGTACATACTTGGAATCTTATCCCTGTCTGCTCTACACATATAATAAATATCTTCAATCATAATACCACAAGAAAATAGACACTCAGATTTACTATAAAGATTGACATTTGTTATGACCAATTCTCCTTTGCGTTGGTTGATTCAGGATTGTGGGACTTTGCGTTGGTTGATTCAGGATTGTGTTTCCCACAATCGAGAATAAGAGTTTGAGGATTGGTACATAAGAAGGGTAAGTAACAAGTTAAAAAAGTCATTCTAAAAAGGTTATTTTATTTATTTTTTTCTTTTTGGCNAGGATTGGTACATAAGAAGGGTAAGTAACAAGTTAAAAAAGTCATTCTAAAAAGGTTATTTTATTTATTTTTTTCTTTTTGGCCGCTTACATGGGAAGGTTTTGGACATTTTAACCGACAAACTATTATCAGGCAAAATGACAGAAGAAGAGGCTCAGCGGCCTGGATGGACACCTCTAATTATTTCCATTTTGCAATTATGGAACCGAAGCAAATGATTTCAATTTGGTTCAATTTCATAACCAAAATTTTCAAATTATTGATGCAGATTAGAGTACTATCGCGAAAAATTATAGTGTAGTTGAAATAAGCCTCATTCAAACTCTGCATATGAATTTTTCAAAGAATATAATTTGCCAAGCACACAACATAAAAACACCGACGCTTGCCAAAGTTGTGCATGGACTGAGGGGGTTGACCATCATCTTAATGGATGAGGCGACGCATCGGGAGCGAAAGTAACAATAGTTCCTCGAGAACTATTGGGTTTACGTATAAGGACTTACTTCGTGATGATGCTAATGTCGACATTGCTGCATGGGAACATTGCATCTCGTGATATTTTCGAAATTCTCTCAATCAATTTAAACTCAAAGTTGAACCATTACATTTTTTTCCCCATGTTGATGATTAAAATCTTTTCTGCTTGTGGTTGATCCTTCAGCACATGTAAAAACTGATCATAGTGATGGAGCGAGGAAAGATAATTCACTAGGTCAAGTATTAACAATAAGGTTTGATGTTATGTTGCATATATGTATTAACATCAAGCCCAGTTTGGCCCCCTTAAAATTTTTGGAATAATATTTTTTTGGAAAATATGCGGTTGAAAAAGGAAGAAAAGTCTTCAATTTACGTATAATATAATTTTATAAAAAATTGTGTAGTCGAAAATAAGAGAGTGAAAGATTATATTGTGAAATAATGGGGGCCAAAAAAATAATGTTAGATCACCTTAGATTTTCCAAGCTTTTTTCTTGAAATAGTTAACATATTTGAATTCGATATATTTGGTTTCAAAACTCTCTCCAATTTTACCGGTGTAATTAGAGTATATACTCATACTTTACAGGTCCTGCTTCACTACGTAAATATATCATCCAATGATCAAGGGAAAAGTGTTTACTTCTTCCTGCACTTTGTTTCTTTACTTCTAAATTTTCCTTTGTAAATTAGAAGAAATTTAAGAAAATATCTTCTAAATATGACCAAAAAATATATCTAAATGCTAATTCCATTTTTTCCGTATGATTCAATATTGAAAACGAATTGAATTTTATGATAGTTATTTTTTAAGAAAATGTATGCTTTATACTGTAGCATATATATGGTAAAAAAAGAATGAAATCATAAAAATATTGGACTACGTACGAAACCTAAAAAATAATTCCTGCATGGCCATGTAGAGTGGTCAACAAAAATTGTAGGAGAATTCATGTTTGTGTCTGCATCAATGAGAAGTCTGGATCTCCATTAATCTGCATGCAAATCCTGATTTTTAGGAAGGGACAACCTCAAATTCCTCAAACAGAAACTAACGATTTTGAAACTTATATGGCTCGTTTGTCTCTCCGGTTCACGTTCCTGCACTATAAATAAGGTATTCATTTTGCACAAACAAATCGTCCCAGAGCAAAAGGGGAATCCAATAATAACCTAGAAACCCCTTTAATAAAAGCTCTGTCTTTCTCTCCAACCAGGGGGCCAAAAAAAAAAAAGGGAGAAAAAGTTAAAAAAAAACCAAAAACAGGAATAGGATTTTGATTCAGAAAATGGGGTTTGAGGGAAAGAAGAAGAAGATAGCCGTAGCTGGCTTTTCTTCAATTCTCTTGGTGGCCATGGTTGTTGCTGTGACCGTTAGCATCTCGAAAAACGGCAGTGCCCCTGCTAGCGACGGCAGCCAGTCTAATGGCGGTGGCGAAATAAGCACCTCCACCAAGGCTATTGACAGCATTTGCGCTCCCACAGATTACAAGGAGACGTGCAAAAACAGCCTCTCGTCCGCCAAAAACACCAGCGACCCCAGAGAACTCATTAAGGTTGCATTCAACGTGGCCGAGGAAAATATTGCTCAGGTCATTAACAATTCTTCACTCCTCAAGGAGGCGGAGAAGGACCCCATGACCTCTAAGGCCCTCGAAACTTGCAAAGAACTTCTTGAAACATCCATTGAGGATCTTAAGAGGTCTTTTGCGACGGTAGATAATTTTGATGTCACCAAGATGGATGTTTACGTCGAAGATCTCAAAACATGGCTAAGTGGTTCTATCACCTATCAAGAAACTTGCATTGATGGCTTTGAGAACACCACCGGTGACACTGGTGAGAAAATGAAAAAACTGTTGAAAACTGCGGCCGAGCTTTCAAGCAATGGGCTCGCCATGGTTACTGACATTTCCCAGATTCTTGGAAACTTGCAATTAGGAGGCTTCAGCAGGAGATTGCTGTCAAGAGATACTCAGGAAATCCCATCTTTTGTTGATGCTGCTAGGCGAAAGCTTCTTGCCGCCAGTCCCGCTTCTCTCAAGCCCAACGCAGTGGTGGCTCAAGATGGCAGTGGAAAGTTTAAGACTATTAATGAAGCCCTCGCAACTGTCCCAGAGAAGAACAATCAGACATTTGTCATTTTTGTCAAGGCTGGAATCTACAAGGAAACCGTCATTATCCCCAAGAAAATGAATAAGATTGTATTGATCGGCGAAGGCCCAACCAAGACAAGAATCTCGGGCAGAAAGAACTATGTTGATGGCACCATGACTTTCCACACTGCAACAGTTGGTAAGTTAAATTCACGTTAAAATCTCAAGATTTTTGAATAAATTCAATTGTACATTTTTTTTCTAATCTTGTTGCTTGAAATTGCTCAGCTGTCAACGGTGAAGAGTTCACTGCAAGAGACATCGGATTTGAGAACACAGCTGGAGCCAACAAGCACCAAGCTGTAGCCCTCCGAGTTTCAGCCGATAAGGGGATCTTCCACAACTGCGCCATTGATGGATACCAAGACACCCTCTACGTCCACACATACCGCCAATTCTTCCGTGACTGCACCATATCTGGCACCATCGACTTCATCTTTGGCGATGCAGCCGTCGTGTTCCAGAACTGCAAGATGATTGTGAGGAAACCAGATATTAACCAGAACTGTATGGTCACTGCTCAGGGAAGGAAAGATAAGCGTGGCGTAGGGGGCATTGTCCTCCAAAACTGCCAAATTGTTGGAGATCCTGCATTGCTCGCTGTTAATCCGAAAGACCAGACAATCCAGGTTTACCTCGGCCGCCCATGGAAGGAATACTCAAGAACCATCATCATGCAATCCTACATCGACGCCTTAATTGATCCTGAGGGCTGGTCCCCGTGGGCTGGAACCTACGGTCTTGACACTTGCTACTATGGCGAATACCAGAACCGTGGTCCAGGATCCAACATGGCTAACAGGGCTACATGGAAGGGTATTAAGAAGATTACTCCTCAAATTGCTGAGAGTTTCACTCCTGCAAGATACCTTGGTGGTGATCTATGGATCAAGCCCACCGGCATCCCCTATGTTTCTGGCATGATGAAAGTTTAGAAAAAATACAATACGTATTGGCGTTCAGTGTAACCTTAATGATGAGAAATCAAAATATTTTAACTTTTAATGTTTTATTAGCTTTTGGGTTAAGTTAAGCTATTTTTAAGTACTAATAATTACTTGAACGAGAGTAATGATGACGTGGTTATGAAATTTTCAGTTTGTAGAAGTAATAGGATTCTGTTCTTGGCTTTAGTTCTTCTATATTTGTTATTAGTATTATCCTGTGAATTTTTTCGAATGTTCATATTCATCAAGGGAGATTGATGGATTGGGGACAATTCATTTTCATTCCTTAATCTTTTCCTTTTGTTTCTTAGATTATGCTTTAATAGTTTAAAAGGAGAAAAGATGGTTAAGGTGTGTTTAATTAAATATGTGAAGAACCGGGCCTGCTTATTGGTTTGGGCAATGCCGTAATGGGTATCGATTGATAGAGATAACTGCACTTCTTTTGGATTTTTGAGAGGTTTCAATGTTTCATAGATTTGATTTTTGATTGTCCATTGATTCAACTTAAAAGACTTTTGTTCCTAACTTCCTATTAGTCTATTATGGTATTTACCAATGTTTGATTTGGATTTACTTTCTATACAATCTAAAGATACTTGGTGACTGGACGATTTGTAAAGATTTGGTGACTGGACGATTTCTATACAGTCTAAATATCAAATATTTATTTTCTCAAATTGCTTTGAATCATGCAGTTTTGCTTGTTTTATTGTGTGAATTCACTGAATTGTAGTTGCATGATTATTATGATTATTTTTATATATACTGTAATTCTGTAAAGTCAAAGAGTGTAATATGCTTGGGGAAGATGTACATTCTAGCCTTCTAGGCTGGTTTTCTTAAGGTGTAATAAGTTGAATCTATCTTTTTTGATAATGAAGAATCATATTGGAGGTTGATTATGTATTTGTCAATTCAAGGGCCGAAAACTTCTGCGGTCACTAATGATTCATTTTCTAAGCTCCAATTTTCATTGATGAAATTCAAGAACCACCAATTATTCAGACTATCTGTCCTATGGAGTATGGACTCTATAGTTCAAGACTTTAGTTCCTATTACGGTATTACCCTATCCAACTAATCCAAGAAAACATTTTCAGGCCCTTAACGTATAGCAGAAGCGAGAATGGAAGATGAGATTCATATTGGATCCTGTATTTCAAGAATTTATTCAAGCCAATAGCTTATATGTAAGTTGTCGCTTTTAGTCAAACTTGAAAAATGTAAAATCATTAGCATCAATATGAATTTTTTTTATAATATATAACTTAGATATTTAAATAATTACAGCTTAATGACTATTGACTTGTCACTTGTATAGTTAGAAAATCCATTTTGTATCACTGAATGAATTTTATAACTTAATTGAAGGAATTGATTCGGATAACTTCTTACAATGCGACAATGCCTTAAATTTAATTTTACTTAAATTTGATATTGTATAAGTTAAAGTATCATAATTTTATTTCAATTTTATTTCAGGCTCATGAATTGTGATGGTGGAATTCTCAAGGGTATAATTCCACAATTTTCGTCGAAATTCCACTTCTCAGGTAAGTAATGGCTTGCCCTAACTTGTTATTAAAGAGATTGAAAATGTTTGAAACCTTGTCAACTTATATGGTTGCAGCTTGGTCAGGTTACATGATTGGTTATTGTAGAATGAACAATTGCACAGGCACACGTAGTAATTAATTTACATTTACGTTGATTTCGCCGCGGCATAATACACCGTAAAATTTTTCCATTTATGTTGAAGTCGCTAGGGGCCTAATTTACGGACTTCGCCTCAGGCCCCGACAATCACAAAACCAGCCCTATCTTGCGATGCTCTTAGAAGTCAAGACCACTCATAATTTTATTATAATATATATGCATCAATATTACTATAGACATAATAATAAATTCAACATTATTAGATTCAAGACAACTTACAAAGCCAAAAGCGATTGATTAAGTAGCACCTGTTTGAGCTCCATGAATCTCAATAATGTAAAGAAATAACCTTCAATACTAAAGATCATCATGACTCCATTTACGTGGCATCAACTCCTTATTGTCATTTATCGCCCTATGCCCTACCATTTCCAACATTGTATGTTGTTGGGCAAAAATCCAAATTTTATGTGACATGATCCAAAGATTAGAACTCGTTGATTTCAAAAATTGAAAACCAACAAATAATCAAAATATTTAGATTAAAGTAAACTATAAATTCTATTCATAATTAAATTAAGCAATGTTCAGTGAGGGTTAAAATCAAATTTTTAATAAATTTTGATAGTGAAATATGTGGTTAAAAGATTGTGGGTCTCTTGAAATATGCAATTAACATTAATGATTGAGTTTAACTTAAATTAAAATTTAGATTTTAATTCTTACAAGATAAGTAAATTATAGAGAATTGCTTTATTTACCAAAAGTTACCCTTCTGGGGCTACCTTCTAAGCTACTTTTGAGCTTACCAAGCCGTACTCGACTTTTCTGATATGAGATCATGTCTATAGCTATCAATCGTTCATTTCTTTCACATGGCCGCACCTTAAATCCCCACAAAATTCCACCCCAACCGCGACACTATTCGACCATACCTCCTATACACCGGCATTCTCGCTTCCGGCGAATCTCCGACATGTCTTCTGGCGACTCCTTCCGGCAACCGCTCACCCCTCAACCGCCGGAAATATTCCCCTTTGAGCTGAAAGAGGATTCCGATTTTGATCAAATCGTATCTCCTGATGGCCTTGTCTCCATCTGCGGTTTCGGTTCTCTCCTCTCTGGTCCGTAAGATCCCTCCAATTGATATGTTGCTACAAAAATATTTGTAGATGAAAAGTTAATCGTGACACTGAATTTACTTCCAAGAAATACTGCCTATTCTTTGAATTTTTTTAATCTATGGATTTGTGCTTTGACATGATTGTTCAGAAAGGAGCGCGAGGAGTACATTTCCGCACTTGATAAACTTCAGAATGACGATATTGAGTGGGTTTCGGAGAGTTTTTGCTCACGTTGCTCCGGTTTTCTTCGAGCGTGGTGTAGCTAAACCTGAAACCAAGGTGCTTCCTTATTTTTGTTGTGTGGTAAATTTTATTTTAGTGGGCACTGACAATCATTTGCTCTAGTGCTGCTGTTCAGTGTTGCTTATATATGTGTAGGTGAAGGGATGTTTACACTTGTATTGATGGTTGCTGAGAAGATTAAAGTTGAAAATTTTTCTCTACCAACAGTTTCTTTTGCACCACTGGATTGGGAATTTAGAAGTGGAATTAAGAAAACAAAACTAGTTAATATAGTAAAATTTTGATATCATAATTGCTTGACTAATTGTGACGGTACTATGTTGTAATTTTTTATTTTATTTTATTTTATTTTTTTGCCTTTTCTTTTCTATTTGATGTTTCTGATGATGAGAAATTTTCCGTTGGTTTTGTTTTATCTGAACTTTTCACAGCACTTATAGTGATTTTGCGAGGCTTCTGGGGTTTCATTTTTGAATGATGTTGTGGTTTATTTTTACAGGAGATATCAAGCTTGAGTGTGGAGCCATGTGAAGGTGAAACCCTTGTAGTTACTACTTTCGAGATTCAGAGATCAGAGGTATAACTTATAAGATTGTTGGAAGAAAAATCAAATTTTTTTATCAGAGTTATAACTTATAAGATTGTTGGAAGAAAAATTAAAATTTTTAGTCTGAGAAGCTTATATTATTCTTGCTTGGCGATTTTAGATACCTGCCTTTATTGAAAGGGAGCATGAGTTCCGGTTTTTAGCGGTGAGTGCATTTATTTCTTAGTTTCATTTGGTTAACTAACTTTTACATGCATCTATGCACATAAGAGATACAGTACTAGTGAGTCATAACTTGTAATGGAGTATTTGTTGTGTTTAGGTGATACCAGAAACATTTAATGGGTTGTTTTACACGACTCCAGCGGTGAGTAACATTAGACTATGACTATTTTTTTGGTTTACTATCATATAATTGACTCTTAAATGAAAAATAATAATATTTCTTAGTGATGCAGGTATTATGCTCACGTTATAGTGATGAAGAGTATTTCAAGAACAGATGCAAAGGTAATTTTCGTCATGTCTTCATGAGCATTTTCTTTTCATTTTTTCATATGGGTATTTCTTTATTTATTTATTTATTTATTTATTTTTGTGTGAAAATAAGTTCGACCTGGTAGTTTATAATATGGGGATGAGATGAGCGCAGGTCGTTGTGAAGTTAAACACTGTAACCAAGTTTCTTTTTCAGCAACAACTAACATTATTCCTAGAAGATGAGATTATTGGGAGAGAAATGAATCTCTTATGTGTTATACATGACATTGTGATTGCATATGTGGAGAATTTCTATTAAATTTTTGATATATCTGGGACAGGAAGCCAAGAGATCTTCTTTCAGCGTTATGGACGATTAGGTATAAACAAGATTTGGGTAGACGATATCTTACCTTGTCGCGTTTATCTCAGGCACTGGTGAGTGCTACTCTCACGTATTTATGTGCATAGAATGCAGAGTTGTATGCAAGACGCTCTGACTCTTCATAACAAGTGCTAAGTTGCAATTATTTTGGGTCTTTATTCGAGCTGAAAATTGTGTGCAACTTCTATTTTGCAGTGTCTTGGCTGCAAAGAACCTTGGTGATCTAGCCTATGATAACTTCCTGGATCATACTTTTCTTGGGGACCGTAAAACAACCATTCGTGAGTACTTGGCTACAGCCGGTTCAAGCATAATGGAAGAGGAGCCTCCTGAAATGCTAAAATACCGATATGGTGGTTGACACTGACTAACTCTATTAATAATTGGACAACTATAGGTTGAATGGACCATGAATGAGCAGAGATTTCCGAATAATGTATAACTAGAATGACCTTAAACAGGCCAGGTATGACTTGGATCTGGTGATTAGTACATTGCAGTAGCCAAAATCTGTTCTAATATCAGCCACAGAACTTTGCCGGGATAAAACTGTGTATCACATCAGTTTATTAAACCCTAATATTTACTGAATAGGAGATCAATCAATCATTGATTTTCCAGTAATTCGTGATCATGATTCAAATTCTTTTCATTTGCATCTGTTTTGCTGATGATAACTTTCTTAGCATGTGCCTGAAATTCATTATACAACTAAGTGTTTAGATTATGTCATTTGCTTGCTCGTTTCACTGCAACAATGTGGAATTGAGGTAGAAGTAAAATAACACTTTAAAATTATTTTAATGTGGCCCAACCGGCTTAGTCCGACACCTCCTAAATTATTTTTCCGGCCTAAGAGCTTTACATTTTATTTTATTTTCATTTTTATTTTTTTTGGGAAAAATTTAAATATAAGAGATTGAGTATGATATATTTAAAAATTAAGAAGCAAAGTTTAGAATTTCAAAAATTAGATTACCTTCAATTTTATTTATAAACTAATTAATTAAACTTATACTTTATTAGTTAAACATGTTAAAGGTCACAATTCTATACAATTTGGTCACAGATGGCTTTTACTAGAAACTTGTATGTGTGAGAGAGAATGTTTTAGGGTTCTAATGTTTGGATCTTATTTTTGGTATTTGGTTGGTGATTGTCGTGATGTTGACTATGGTGGTGAGGTGGTAGTGTTGTTGGGAGTTCATTGAGTTGGTGGTGGTGGTAGTGGCGTGACGTTATGGTTGCTGCCAAATCCAAGCCTGGTTGTGCAATGACGTTATTTTGGTTGGTTTTTGCATTTCTATGTTGTGTGGTCATGGTGGCGATGTGGTGGTGTTTTTCTACTATGAGTTAATTTGTTTGAGATGGTGGTTGCAAGTGTTAATGGTGATCACAAATTGTTTGGTTGACTATGATCATTAAATTGATTAATCTGTAATCAACAAATAATATGTGACCAATAAAAAAGATAAATTATGATTAAGAAATAATGTATAGCCCAAAAATTGTTAATTTGTGATCGATAATCTGAAAATTTGTGATTTGTTATATTTGTGATTTATAATTGATAAATAAACCATAACTCATAAATTTTTTACTTGTGACTTATGAACAAATTGTTACATATAAAATTTTTAAAATACTTAACTTCTTCGTTATGAATTTTTCCTAAATATTAATTCGAAAACCGGCCTTCCATATTATATAATATTTGAGCATTACCAATTTCAAACTAGAATACACTAGGGAATCCCTTTCATCGTGTAACGAGGAAGAATAATTTGTATTTGCCAATCATGCTACCACATAACTAGAATCTAAATCATTTTCAAGTTGTTCAATTAGCAGTTCCATCATTTTCTTGTACATAGGCATATAATGATCATTTATCATTGTCTTCGAAAACCGGAGCTTACTGTACAATTCTCTCGGCGTCTGATACAGACAAACTTGTTCTTCTGCCGGCACATCTTGACCTGTTTCGCTTGCCTCGGGGGAATGTACAGATACGATGTGCATTATGCTACCAGGAGGATAAAAACGGTGATTATCTGAAACATCTGATGAAAATATTGGCCTTTGGCTTTCGACTGTACTGGTCAATACCTTCTCCTCTTCAGTTATTTCCTTTATGGCAGCCTCTTCTTCATCCTGGATCTGGATATCGGCCACATCCTCTTGCCTTTGGAGCTCCTTCTCGAGTTCATACCACAACTCACCCTCGGTGGTGATTTCCTCAAGGGTCGATGCAGCAGCAAGTTCATCCCCCTTAATGAGATCTTCCTCTTCATCAGTTTCATATTGCCTGGATTCAGTTGCGATTACTTCGCTTACAAGAGATTCAGATGTTTCCTCAGTAAGAAGAGAAGCCTCAGTCAAATCATCTGCTTTAGAGTTCGATGAATGGGCCACAGCTCGGCGCCGGGGGCCCATACATGTCCATAACGATATAGAAGAGCGGGTCCTAACAACTGCTTGGGCTACATCTTGTGCACGCTTCATTACAACCTGTAGATTTGCCAAAACAGGGTCACCTTTCATTATACAAGAAGATTAGCTGCAACTGCATGTTCATTTAATACCCTTATTCCAAGTATCTAATCAAGAGAATATTCAATAATAATGCACACATCACTTAGCAAACAATCAAGAGTTCGGACAAATGATTAAAGAGAAGTAAGATTGCGCTTAGCTTTTAGCATAATAAACTAGCATTTCTAATGAATGGAGAAATTCTATCCGTACTACTTATCCTTCGAAAAATCCACCTGATCAAGATTTTAGCATTACCTGAGTGCTGCTAGAAACAGGCCTTAGAAAGGCACCTGCACCAACCACCCTTGCTTTAGCATTCGCTATAGATGGTAGATGAGACCCAAGAGCAGTGGCTGAGCGATATATTACGTTCAAAACTCTGTGGTGCTCAACTTGATCACGGAGATCGTTTAACCAAGACGATGCTGTTACCTGATAGTCAGTGTGTGTCAGGAGGAATTGAAAGTTTTGAAGGCTAAAGAATTGTTTGAACTAGGATGCAAGAAAATATATCATTCAAATATTTCTTGATAAAGATAGGAATAACAACACCTCTGAACGAAGATCATCCACAGAAGCAGCTGAGAATGCAGGCACCAAATCAGAGCCATTGACTATTGTAGTAATGAAGCGTTTTCCGGACTCTGCCAACTCCCATGTCATACAAGCAGCTGTAACAGAGAGACAATACTATCAGAAGAACATTTTTTATTTTGATAAATAATAAAGGGATCAATCATAGAATTTGTATTTTCAATCCACATTCACTATACCATTTCAAGATGCAATTTTGGGATTATTGAGCCAAATGTATCCCTAACATATCTTTAAAGAGCAATTTCTTTTAATAATTTTGTCATGTTACTGGTATCTTGTGTGTATTTTTCTGATTTGAATTACAAAGCAGATATATATTGCAATCGCCAATAGAATGGCATTTGAATTGCCTCCAATGCATAAATTTTAATACTCCTAAATATATCAATGCTCAAGAAACAAGTAACGTTTCATACTGCCATTTAATAATATTATCAACCCAGACATTCAGGTAATATTCCATTTAATAATACCACAACATGGATATTCAAGATGATAACAGAGTAACTGCATAATAGATAATACAGTAATGTAGCCGATCAAAACATGCCTGGTGCAAAAGTGACACAGGTGATCGCAGATAATTCACTCTGTTCCCGAAGAATATATGTCAGTAGGGCAGCTGTACCGCCACCAAGTGAATGACCAACAATCTGGAATGAAACAGCAAATCTTTGTGAAGATACTAAGGCCCCGTTTGGTACCCATTTTTTTCAAAATGCATTTTTCTCTCTCTTCTTTTCAACCACACATTTTTCATTAAAATAATATTACACGTAAATCAAAAACTTTTCCTTATTTTTCAACTACACATTTCTCATCAATTTACTATTTCAAAATGCATTTTTACATAAAAATGGCTCCCCAACACCCTCTAAAAAAAGCATTTATAGGAAATGAACTTTCAAATGAATAAAGATCGACAACGAGATACTTGTAAGTCATGAAGGATGCTAACATCACTAGTCTATGGAGTAGTTTCTTGTGCCTAATTTCTTTCCTCTCAAATGAGACACGCTTCATAATGTAGATTAAGTCTCCATATCCTTGTTATCTATGCTGATTGCTATCCATCGAGCAGCAGCAACCATCCCACAATGTGCATATCCCAAAATTAAATTGCCTACACCACCATCGTGCAAAACTGAATGGTGAAAAGGGACCACTGCACCTGTCGCTGCAGTCAATGTATCTTTAATGCTATGAGTTCCCCGAATCAAGAGAAGGAAGCACTTCGAGTTTTCATCACGCAAAATTGTGAAGGCAGGCTTCAGGAGCTGCAAATGATAAACTTAAGATATCGTAACTTATCAAGATACTCTAATAACCATTAAGATGTTATGTGATGTATGGTAAGCAATCACATACTCCTGCTTTGGGCTTCTGAAGAAGGACATCTACATCAGAGTATCCTGCAGACTCCAAAAATACTTGAAAAGGTTTTTTGGAGAACAGCATGCAAAGGGTCAACAATCGTAAATAATGATACAACTGATCAATAATTTCAGGGCCCTTTAGTTGCAAGCATTTTTCTCCTCCATATACACTTGCAACTTGTAAATTACCCTGCAAGATCAGTACACTCAGTCATATATTAAGTCTTGATTAAAAAAGTTTAAATTGCCCAGAATAAGGTGCTTTAAAAACATAAAAGATGAGGAACCAGTTAATCAAGAGGATATTTTAAGCAAATGAAGTTTTTCTCATTAGTTCCTTGTAGATAAGATTGTACTCACCAATGCATGTGAAATGAAATAGAAGCACAAGGAGGAGGGGATAGTTTTACATCAAGATAAAACATAAATGAGAGTACATCTTCTGTAAATAGACATACCAAATTTTATCCTTGAACTTAGTTTGTTTCCTGATGTACTTTGAAGAGAATAGTTAAACAATTACTGCAAAGAGAAATGTTCCAAAATTTCATATCATCTCAACACGAGGGAGAAATAATTTATTTTCCATTAAATTACTATTAGAAATTCAAAACATTGGGCCAACTAAATGTCATGGCTCACTCCACTCACTATATCACTACTCACTATCAAGTATCAACCAGTGCATTCTAGAATATTCTGTAGGTATTCTATAAATTCAGCACATGGAGGGAGGATGAAAGGCAAGTTGAAGATTGTTAGCTTGGTGAAAACCGAGTTCCCCCTTGTCTCTCTATCCCTTTGGAATTTCCCTCTCTGTTCTATCTCTTATTTATCTCCTTCTATCTCTAAATCTCTGTTCTTCTTATTCTCTTCGTTTTTCTAAGTCTGTTTCTCTCCGTCTTTCTATTTCTCTAATCTGGATTCTTCTGATTTTCTGCATTTTCCCCTCCCCTTACTGTTTACATTTCACTATTTTTATTGTAATTTCATTTCAATTAATAGAATTAAAGCTTGGTTTACTGATTCCCTGCTGATTGCATCAACTGAGTGTTGATTTTGAGTTGAATTTAGTTAGTTTTGGTTGAAGTTGAGCTCCAACCATAACACTAAAAGAATGCTTTCATTAGAGTCTAGTAATCAGCACCAGGTAATTCCGTAATTACTAAATTTAGTAATCAGAAAAGTTCTGTTCTATTAAATCTGACTAAAAGTCAGCCATTCATGAAAGAACGAACTAGCAATTGTTGCATTAAAGTTCCAAAATATAAACCATAAACAACATCGCAAAAACCTAGAATGTTACTCAATCAGATTACCAAGTCAACGGATTTGTTTAACTGAAGCTAATTGTGAACATAAATTTCGTAGAAACACTATAAAGATAAAAGAGAAGTTTATACCTGCCTTCGAATTAGATATTTAATTCCAAAAGCAAGGTCACCAATCGGCCAATTTAGTTAGTTTTGGTTGAAGTTGAGCTCCAACCATAACACTAAAAGAATGCTTTCATTAGAGTCTAGTAATCAGCACCAGGTAATTCCGTAATTACTAAATTTAGTAATCAGAAAAGTTCTGTTCTATTAAATCTGACTAAAAGTCAGCCATTCATGAAAGAACGAACTAGCAATTGTTGCATTAAAGTTCCAAAATATAAACCATAAACAACATCGCAAAAACCTAGAATGTTACTCAATCAGATTACCAAGTCAACGGATTTGTTTAACTGAAGCTAATTGTGAACATAAATTTCGTAGAAACACTATAAAGATAAAAGAGAAGTTTATACCTGCCTTCGAATTAGATATTTAATTCCAAAAGCAAGGTCACCAATCGGCCATTTTCCGAGAGTTTCTGAATACGTAAACCTCAGAGTCTCTGAAAGAGTGGAGATCGTCTCGAGCCATGTAGCAGGGGCTTGAACTGGCCGCCTAACCAGCCGTTTCTTCACAGATCGACTCTTTGATATCGAGATATCACCTCCGGTGTCCGTTGCGTCCCCTGCGGCGGAAGATAGCCTCCGGCTCAGAACGTAATACAGAAGCACTATAGTCCCAGCCGCCGTGGCCATTGTCGTCGCCGCCATCAGATCACTCCCAAAAAAAGAAATTGTCTACATATAAATGAGTTGATTTCTTGAAAGGGAAATGAATATCAGAAGAAATTGGGGTTTGGAAGCCATAATTTTGATTTCAGTGATCTCTAGTTATAGATACATCGCCGCTGTATGAGAGAGGCAAGCAGGATCGGGTTAAGTTAAGCAAACAAAGCAGCTTACAGCTCAACGCTTCAAATTTGATAGAATGACTGAAGTATCCTTCTCATTAATCCGCGCAATCATATCCACGACCTATCATTTATAACATTCAACTCGCCCCGGGCATAATTCAGTAATACAAAGGACAGGAGAAAGGTTATCTCACATCTTGCTAGTAATCGTAGTATGGGGGTTCGATTCCTAAGATATGGAATTGAACTCCTTATAGGCGCAGTGTACATGTAATTCTTGTCCCCTAACTTGTTGTGACACATCCCACGATTTACCTCCCTCACAAAATTTTAGGGACGAGGTGGTGGGGGTCCTGAAGGTTGGGGTTCAACCTTCATTTTTTTCTTTTTCTTTTTATTTAACATTCAACTCTCTTGGGTAAAAATTAATAATTAGTTTTAACGTGCCCAAGAAGTATCGTTATTTTTTATCAAACTTTACTAAAAATCTTATTTTAATTCCCATTAAACCGGGTTTCACTTCCTCAATAGAAAGACGTAAAATGTCGTTGTGACATTCACTTGATGTCAAAGACGGGTTGAATGATGGGGATGTGACTAACGAAACTCAGAAATATATCATACTCGTATTTCTAAATGAGGGTTAAAAGTTGTGATTTAGACAAATTGTGTCTAATTTTTTGGACAATTTTCACAACTGTGCATCCCACACTCGAACCTCGAGCATGGATGCACGGGGGCCAATGATATGGTCCATCTATTTACCTCGACCTCAGATTTCCCGATGACTCCCAACTTGGTCTTCAAAATATATTCGTCGGGTATGATGGTCCTCGTGCTTATGGAAAACATCCCGAGGATATGGACCTCTCTCCTAATCGTACCATGAGGTCGGGCAGTAAAGTCCTCGGTATTTTAATGTCCTCATGCTTTTTACTTTAACGATACCACATCCTCCTACGAACAGTGACGTGTCACACTTGATACCCCACAAGACTTCTAGATGCAGGAGGAATTTACTGTTGTTAGACTTGTACTGATCTCACAATTGTTTTGCATGTCAAACATCCACCTCCGATAGGACTATATGAGATAAAGATTCCCCAATTGTTCAATCCTAATAGGACTCAACCACCTAACACTATAAATACATGGTTTCACCTCATTATTCAGGTACTTACTTTATGCAATTTTTAGTCCATAGCCTCACACACATTTTCTAACTTAAGCATCGGAGGGGCGTCGAGGTGATCGGAGGGGCGACGAGGACACACCTCGACGCCTTTGTTTCAGGTACCGGAAGATCACGTTCGTGCTTGTCATCAGTCGTTCAGCTCGAAATTGCTCAGGTACGATTTTTTGTAACATCATTGGCGTCGTCTGTGGAAACATGCTACCAAAAGCCATGGTTAACACGCGCTCAGGTCTTCCACCAGCAAGCTCATCCGCTCCAAACCAACCCTCTTCTGAGGATCCTCCTGCTCCTCAAGAGAAATCATCAGAAGTGCCAGAGCCCCGGCCAGCAATCGTCGCCGTCGGAGCCTTCGAGGAGCTCAGACAACAGGTCACCACACTGACCCAGCTGCTAAGTCAAAGGAATTTGCATCCATCACCCCCACCGGCTGCCCAGGGGGATTTTATGGCTGATGCTCAAGCTCCCCGGAATGTCCCTGACAATGGCGGAGCTGGGGGGCTCGGGTATACCACATGGCACCTCGGCCTCGAGATCAGTGACCATAGAGTCTGGAGAACTCGCTCGAATTATTCAGGAAGGAATTACGGCGGGCCTATTTCAGAACAACAAAGGGTCAACAAAATTCAGTCCTAACACTCCTTTTACCCCTGACATATTGTCATTCCCCCTGCCAGACAGATTCAAGTATCCTAAGATAAAAGAGTATGATGGGACTACCGATCCAATCAACCATCTTAACGTATACACCGATGTCATGAACCTACAGGTTGCACCGGATCAGGTGATGTGCAAGGCTTTCCCGCAAACTTTGACGAATGCTGCTAAGGATTGGTTCTCAACCTTAGAGTCCAACTTAATAGCCTCATTCTCGGATTTAGCGGACAAGTTCTCCGCCTTCTTCGCAAGCAGTAAACGCATCACGAAAACGGCAGCCTCCCTCATGCAACTTTGACGAGGGCAAAATGAGAACCTACGTGACTTCATGACCAAGTTCAACAAGGAAAGGCTCCAGATTCCCGACCTTCATAGAACGGCAGCGGTTTCTGCCCTCACATATGCCATAAAATGTGAGGCTTTCAAAATGTCGCTATCCAAAACTCCGTCGAAGACAGTGACCGAGCTTCTTACCCGAGGCGAGAAGTACATAAATATGGAGAAAATACTGAACACGAGGAAGGTTGGACCATCCCATGATAGGGTCGAGCATAAACGACCGCATGACCCGAACCCCCATTAATAACCACCTCGGAGTAAACAGAGGCAGGAAGTTCCTCCGACGTCATTCACGCGTTTAAATACATCGAAAACAAATATCTTAATGGAAATCAAGGATATGAAGGAGCTCAAATGGCCTGCGAGAATGAGGTCACCACCCCAGTCCAGGGACATGAGCAAGTACTGTGAGTTCCATCGAGATCATGGGCCTACCACGGAAAACTGTAAGGCCTTGCAATGGGAGATTGAAGCCCTTATTAAAAGAGGATTTCTGAGTTCCTACGTTGGTAACGACAAATGCCCGAAGAATGATTGTGGTAGGGAAAGAGCTTCTGAAGCAAAAAGGGATGGTCAACCCACTGCTGGAATCATCAACATCATCGTTGGGGATATTGCGTCAGGAGGAGATTCGAACATTGGGCGGAAGCAGTATGCCCGGCAATACATGACATCCTCGAAAGAACATCATAGTGACCTCGACGACATAACATTTGGTATGAAGGATCTAGAGGGCGTATCTTTTCCTCATGATGATGCCCTAGTTATCTCTGCAATAGTAGCAAACTTTGAAGTAAAGAGGATCTTAATCGACAACGGGAGTGCCGCTAACATATTGTCACACGAAGCCTCACAAAAATGGAAATTTCTCCCGAACAGTTGAAGACAGTAAAAACCCCCCTTCAAGGATTCCGGGGGGGGGGGGGATTTTTTTTTCCGGGGGGGGGGGGATATTATTGTCCTGGAGGGAGTGGTCGAGCTACCTCTTAGCTTAGGTAAGGAACAGGTAACGGTGATTACATCTTTTCAGATCGTCCGATCATCCATGGTATACAACGCCATCCTGGGAAGACCATTGCTCAATAAGGTAAAAGCCGTCGTGTCCACCTTCCACCTCGCCATGAAGTTCTCCACCAGTCATGGCGTCGGGGTAGTACGCGGAAACCAAGTTGCTGCCAGACAATGCTATGTTACTTGTGTTCAGGAAATAAAGACGGACGTCATGCAAATTTCAAAAAATGAGATAAAGCTCGAGCATCGGGGGAGACTTGCCCCAGTGGAGGGGTTAATGGAGATAGAGCTCGAGCATGGGAAGAAAGTAAAGATTGGTCGAGATCTGAATACGGCCCTCATGACCGAACTTATTGACTGCTTATCCCTCAACATTGATATCTTTGCATGGAGGGTGGAGGATATACCTGGCATCGACCCCGAGGTTGTAGTACACAGGCTCAACACTAAGCCCGAGACTCATCCAGTCAAGCAAAGAAAGAGGCAGTTTGCACCGGAACGACGACGGGTCATAAAGGAAGAAATTAATAAACTAATCAGGGCTAAATTCATCCGCGAGGTCAATTATCCTGACTGGCTCGCCAATGTCGTCCTGGTAAAAAAGGCTAGTGGTAAATGGAGAGCCTGCATCGATTTCACAGACCTCAATAAAGCATGTCCAAAAGACAACTACCCCCTACCTCGAATCGACGATTTGGTGGATAGTACGTCAGGGCACAAATTATACAGTTTTTTGGATGCCTTCTCGGGGTACCATCAAATTCTTATGGCCGAGAAAGACCAAGAGAAGACGTCATTCATGGCCGATTTTGCCATATATTGCTATAAGGTCATCCCATTCGGTTTGAAAAATGCAGGAGCAACGTATCAAAGACTTGTCAATATAGTTTTTGCAGGTATGATCGGGAGAAATATTGAGGCCTACGTTGATGACATAGTTGTAAAGAGCAAGCAAGTGGGCAACCATGTATCAGACCTCGAGGAGGTATTCGCCATGCTGCGTAAGTACAAAATAAAGTTGAAGCAGGAAAAATGTGCATTTGGCATTGCCTCGGGAAAGTTCTTAGGTTTTATGATCACTCACAGGGGAATCGAAGCCAACCCGGACAAAATACGGGCGTTGGCATCAATGGAGCCACCTAAAACCAAGAAGGAGGTCCAAAAATTAACAGGCCGTGTTGCTGCCCTCAACAGGTTTATGTCCCAAGCAGCCGACAAATGCTTCCCCTTTTTCAAAGTCCTCAGGGGAAACCGAAATTTTGAATGAGATGAGGAATGTGAAAGGGCTTTTCACGAACTTAAGGAAACGCTAGCATCTCCTCCTATCCTCACTAAACCCGAGCATGGTGATACTTTGTATTTATACTTGGCTGTATCCCAGAATGCAATAAGCGGTGTGCTAGTGAAAGAAGTTAACAAAGCCCAGCAACCCATATACTACGTCAGTAAGGTCTTGCTCGATGCAGAGACTAGATATACTTTGGCAGAACAGCTTGCTCTTGCATTGGTTGTGGCAGCACGGAAGCTCAGACAATATTTTCAGTCTCACCCCATAGTTGTGCTCACTAATCAACCCCTTAAGCATATATTACAAAAACCCGACGTCTCCTATAGGTTACTAAAGTGGGCAATCGAACTGGGAGAATTTGACATCGAGTATAAATCCTGACCATCTATCAAGGCGCAGGCCTTAGCTGACTTCATTGCAGAACTCACCCTAAGGCCTCAGGGGCCAGGGGATAACTTGGACAATTCTACTTCAGACACTTGGAACATCTTTGTTGATGGAGCATCCAATTCGTCAGGTTCCGAAGCCAGGGTTATCATCACGAGCCCTGACAAACTCGTGGATATTCAATGCGCACTCATAATTGAATTTGAAGCTACCAACAACG